TTCTGAAGCTGATGCTGACATTGCTGTTAAGAAGGCTGGACAGTCAGATTTGTTATATAAGGATAATTACAGAACACATTTTTGGTTAAAGGCATTTAGGGATTTTTGACAGCTTTGTCAAATATGCTTTTCATTTCCATAATTTTTCTCTAGAAATTAAAAATTGTCTGATTAGTTTAAGATGAATGTGTCTCTAAATGAATTAGAGACCTAAAGATTCATTTTAGATAATTACCTGAGGCCTGGAGATGACAGATTCTAGAAGCTCCTGCCTGCTTAGCTGGTGTGCACTGGTCTCCTCTCACTGTGATTTTTCTCTTCTATTTTTCTTTACCTGAAATTGAAATTGCTTGATGCATTTATTTATGATTTTCCCAACAGTAGCTTGTTTTGTGGATATCACTGTGGGATTTGACATCTCATCACAGAGGGAAGGCCACAACTTATTTCATGGGCAGACCAAACTAGAAAAGCGTTTTCCTGAGATTTTGCAAGCCCTCCTGTCTCTAGAGGATGTGAGCTGCAATGTTGGGTCCAAGGCACAGAGCAGTGTGGCTGTTCACGTGAAGAATACTGTTACTCCAATATCTGCAAAGTTCTACATTGACAGTGAATCTATCTTGCATAACCTGTCCGATGCTGTGATTGGGAGACCATCCCGACTTAATGTTGAATTCTTGCAGTCACTCTGGGAAACATTTCAGAACAAGGATGAGACCCGACAAAAGGTAATGTGATGACTTAGGCAAAAATCCTTTGTTCAAAATTATGTAAGAAAGGTTGAAATACAATTGTTCATTGCTTCTGTGTGATTTACATTCTCTTTTTTATGTCTTTGTAGGTATTACTTGTGTTCTCAGATGGTGTGGATGATGACTTAGAAGCACTTGAACAAAAATCTGAAGAACTTAAAACCAAAGGTATCTATTCTAGAGAAGTCAGAATGTTTCACTTCTCAGGTGGCCTAGCAATGGGGTGAGAAGAGGTATTTAATTAATTTCTGCAGAAAGAGCACATGGAGATTAGCAGCAAATAAAAGGAGTTATAGTCTCAGGTGCGCAGTCAATACAAATCAGAATAGCTCCTTTGAAGTGAGGTTGACAATGCCTGATAAAACTGTCCTCCTATCATGGTCCTTTTCTTTACCTGTGGCCAATAGCGGATGTTTCAGAAAGCACCTAGTAACAGGACTAAGTAAACAGTGATGCTTCTTTGGGATGACTTCCCCATGTAGAGATTTTATGATCTGAAACAGTCTTTCTTACAATGTTTAACCAACTTTCCCACAGCTACACATATGTGTTTCGCCAAGCAATCTGCCTTGTCCTTACTATCTGTTGTCACCCAGAAACCTAGCAGAGTGGGGAGAAGATAGGTTGAGTAGTTACCTTTCCTCCTGCCCTGTAGGCTTCAGTATCTGTATCAGCATCTGATTTCGGAGCCCAGGGTCAGAAAGGGAGGGCAGGAGGAATGGAGAAGCTGCCACAGGCTAAGCCCTTCTGATGTGTGCAGGAGACTGTCATGCAAGAAACAGTGAAAAACAGAACTGGAGATGAAAGGGCTAGATTTACCAAAGGGAAATGCAAGGGGCTTCTCAATTGGTAGCAGTCGCTTTGGTGTGTGCTTGCCCCTCATCCCATACAGACATCCGTTGTCTCGTGTCTATTGTCTCTCTTTTCTCAACAACAACCCTATGAAGAATTTCCTGTTCTGAACAGGATGCAAGTGGCAAGAAGAGCTATAGTGGAGTACAAGCGTGACAAGTGCAGCCAGTAAAGTGGAGCATAACAGTCCTTTTAGCAAAGATGCTAGTAACTGCAGAGCAGTAATAATGGGGAGAACATGGGGCTTCCTTTGACACTATGGCAGCCACACGGGAAAGATAGGAAGACAGATATGCCTAACAGCTTGCTCAGGTGTACCAAAGACTCTTTTCCTTGGGGTGTTGTGTGTTGTCGGTCGGTTGTCCTGTGTCAATAAGCAAATTAGGTGCAGAAGTGTGATTTGGGATTGAGTTTTAAAATGTATTTTAAAATAAATTTGGTCTTAGGTTTGGGTGGGTTTTGTTTGTTTCTGTTGGGTTTTAATTTCATTTGCTAGGGCTGTGCAGCATCATTCAGCTAGAGATTGCTGTCATCTCTGTTCAAGTGAGTCAGAAGTCTGCCTGCTAGATTCACGGAACTTAAATCAGAGTAAATTCAGTTTGTTTGGATTTGAATCTGCTGATGTTGCCTGGTATGTTGTACAACTGTATAAAAGGGACTCAGGACCAAGCCAGAAACCTGGAATCCCAACATAACTGCATTTTCAATGGCAATGTTGCCTCACTGTGCTTTTTTCCCTTACAAAAGGAAACAGACTTTTCCCTGTTCTTTCTCCGAATGATCTGAGTTCAAGGGGAGCACTTCAGGACATTACTGCATAGGATATCTCTTTGCCTCTTGCTTTGCAGCCTGAGGAAGTGTCTTGTGGCCAGAGGCTTACTCTAATTTCACATTGGTGTCATTCTAGATCAATATAAAGACATGCATTCTTACAGCAAAACTGGGCTGGAGAAACAGAGAATTCAGATCTGTAATTTCTCTGACATCTACCTCAGCATTAGATCTGCTATTGTAGCTGATGGAATGATGACTTGGAGCCACCAATATTTGCAACTATTTTAATGTAAAAAGAAGTGCAACATAAAACTTCTGGTTTTCCTAAAAGCTCAATGGTTAAGTGAATATTTATGTTGACAGCCAAATCAACCATATGGTCTTGAATCATTGATCATTATTCAAATAGGAAGATTTATATTCTGAGCTTTTTATTGGCTCTTCATTGTCACTAGCACCTCATTCGAATCACTCACAGAACTGTATACCATCAAAAGTGTGGCTTTTCCAGCTGGCATTCCTAGTAGGTACCATTCACCTTCTTTATGATGCATGTATATATAAGGTACAGAAACCATTTTTCAGTGGAACTGATATTTATTTTCTTATTCATTATAATTAGGTTTGGATGGTCTTGTAACTGTTGTTCTGGAAGGAGCCTCCAATTTTCAAAACCTCCGATCCATTGAGTTTGGAAAAGGATTTGAATATGGAACTCACTTACATATTGGCATGACAGATATTGCTAGTAGGCTATCCAAGTTCTTGGTAAGTTATCTGATAAAGAACCAATGTACATAGTAAGATCTTGGGTAGAAGAACTGTACAATCAAACCGTAAGAATCAAGTTTGGTAAATATAACTAACAAAGGAGTCATGCTATTAATAGAGCATAAAGTCCAGTTGTATTCTTAGGGTGAGTGCTTCCAGTAAGAGCAGGAGTAGAGCCATGAGGAAATTTTTGGAAAATACGTTTTTCATCTGCAGTAACTTCTTCTTTTCAAGAATAATATTGCTGAGAGGACCTGCTGCTGTTTGTCTTGCAAATGTACTGGGGAAGAAGGTGAAATAGGAGATATGGGAAAACAAGGGATAAAGGTAAGAATATATCCTAGCTTTGTATTGCTAAGTTTGAGTTGTAAATAATAATGTAACGGTGTTTACCTGTGTTTTATGGCAAGATTTTGGTATATCCTCCAAAATCACAATACACCCTCTGTCTAACAATGCAGGAGGAGTAATCAGTCATCAGTTGTGAGTACTATGGAGGAACATTTCATAATTGATGAGCTTATCTAAAGATTCTAATACTCGTTTTGCTTAGCAACTTACCTGCTTTTCCCTAGAATGCGTGTCTTTCAGAGACCTTTATTCAGAGCCATCAGGAAGTTCCTAATGACTGCATTTTTAACAGTCTCGGAACAACTTAGGATAGCAATTGATTGTTTCTGCAGGAGTTCCAGAAAGAACCAAAATCTCATGAAGGCATTGCAGTTCATTTCAGTAGTAAAGATTTCTATTAATGTCAATGGAAAAGAGCCAGTGAAATGCTACAAGTTAGGGAATTAAAAGTTAGTGCATACAAGCAAGCAAAAAATGCTTTAAATCAAATTATTTGTCTTTTAATTATTTTTTTTTACTAACTAGATTTCCAGTTAAGGTATGCAATAGAACCATTCTAAACCTCAGATATCTGTGACTTTTCTTGTATTATTTTCCTTTGATGTGGTTAAGAAATGGTGGAAAATTCTGTACTGTAGTTCAGTAGTGTAATGTTTAATTCTGTTCAGTTTTAAGTAACTTATTTTGACAGCTGCCATAACAATTGAGAGTTCTGTTAAATGTGTGCATTAATTCTAAATAAAAACATGCTCTATGATGTGGATGCTTGAAGAATACACTTTTTCAAGCCAGCAGGAGTGCAAATATGGTAGAAGAACGTCCCCTGTATACATGAAACATTAATTTATATACAGTCCTGATGTCCTTGTGGACAAGCATGTTCACTGGTCACTCAATAATGGGTGTTGCTTCTCACCTGTATGTTTCAGCAGCCATGAACACTGCTGCTGGAGGCTTCAGATTTTCTGCCTCCAACAGCTGACAAAATGGGCAGCTCAGGCTTGTACAGTGTTAGTTCACATATATCTTTTGAGCAGCCATAGCTTTATTTTGTCCTCTAGCTCTTCTCCCCTTTTCCAGAGTTAAAGAGTTCCCTTGAGTCTTTTCACACTTATCATTTTGTCCACTGCACAGCATCACTTCGGCCTTGGTTCTTCTTTTATTATAAACATTAAGCAAAGTCCAAGATAGGTTGTTAAAGATTCAGTAATTAAGGTATATCTCAGTGTTGTCTTCAAATGTTTAATTAGTTGCTGGAGACACTTTAAAACTTTGAAAGAACTTTTCCTGGGGCCTACAGTGAAAGAAAATTGTTCACACTGGAGCATCCAATAAAAACATTGGGCCACCTTCAAATCTGAATGTGGGAAAACTAATGCATTAGTGATGACTTAACCTGTTAGTAACATTAGGGAAACATTAGGAGAAAAATGATCAGGAAATAAGTTGTTTATTATTCAAGTTTTCAGCAGCGTTTCAAGCCCAGAGTAAGCAGAGGGACAGAATATGCAAAGAACAATATATTTGCCCATTAATTTTTTCCAGAATTCCCCAGTAGTTTCTGAAGGTCAACCAAGTATTATAGCATTACCTCTCATCTTTTAACTTCAGGGATCCAATGGTGCTAAAGGCAACCTAGGATATCTTGGAGATGAAGGAGAATCGGTAAGTTATATCACTTTAAAAACCTGTGTTGGTGAAAACTAAAACATTTGAGCAGGGAAGAAAAAAAGATCATCTAAACTAGCTGCATAGTGAACTTAAAAAGACCTGTTACCTTTCAAGGTAACTCCCTCATATCACTTGAATAAAACAGAGGCAAGATCATAAAATTTTCAGTAGTGTTTCTTGGAATATAAGGGACATACATTATAACAACTTGATTAGCTCATGTATGTGGCTGGCTGGGTGCCTACTTAGCAAAGCTATTTGGGAACTTATTTTTATTTCTGTAGAAGATTTCTACAAAAAGCATTTTTTAATTTTACTCTTTTTTTTTTTTATGTTTTCCTAAGTTGTTATCAAAAACTCAAAACAGTTTTCTATGGGGAAACTAAAAGTAAACAAATAGAGAGAAAACCAGTAATTTTCTGTAGAAGGAACTGTTAATAAGCCAGTTCTGGCCAGTCAAGACCAGCTCTTTGATCTAGACGTCTGTTACTAGATGTTTTTGTTTGTATCGAAATTAGATGTGTTTTTTGAAGGCTGTCCAAACCATATCCTCTTGATTTGACCCAGGTGCAATATCTTTTGATGATGGTAGGTTGCTGAAACCAAAACCATGAAAGTGAAAGAGACTGGGAAGCGTACTGCAAGGCTATGATCATCTCTCAGATTGATGGATATGTTTGTTTGCTCCCAAAAGAGCAAACAGTTTACATCTATATAATTTTTGTTTCAAATTTTTAAAAAAACTGATAAATGAGTGGAAACTAAAAGTAACTACAGTGACAGTAAGGAAGTAGCGTAGCAGTGTAATGGATATTAGAGAGGAGCACAGCCCAAGATGTCATCAGGAGGGTGCAGTAACTGTTCTGTTGTGCTGTCAGCCAGTTTGTAACAGTTTGTAGGCATTGCTCTGGTAGACTGCTCACTCAAGGCGAAGTCTTGATGTGTGAAGATGCAGTACTCCAAAAACAGGCCTGCAGATGTGTAATGGCATCATCACATTGTACTTGCTTTACTTTCATCATACTATGTAGAAAGAATTTTTCATGGAAATCCTGTCAGCCAGACTCACAAATATTAGTTCTGCTCTGTGAGATTTCTGTGGTTGTATGTAGTTTCAAATTTAAGATGCTCTAGTATAGAGATACTTTTTTACGGGAGTCAGATTTGTCAAAATGATAGCTGGAGACTTGGGACTGTAAGTGCATTGTGAATGTTAACAGCACAATGCATATGGCTAAAAGGAAATTATAGTAGGGGAGATTAAAAATATTTTAACATTTGCTAGGATACTGCTGATATATGTGATCTTTCATAGGAGGTTGCTGACTTATAAGAATCTTGCAGTTGCACATTTCTCTGTTGTCAAAACCTTTTAATCCCCAGTTAACCAAGGACTTTATTGGGGCTACAGTTCTTGAGAAGACAGCTTGCCAGGACTACAGGACTGGATCTCTCTAACAGATAAATTAGCTGCCAGCTTGTGTATACTTCACATAAATTGAAACAATTGGATTCTTCTTTTCTCTTTTTCAGGGCACAAGAGGACCACCTGGACCACAAGGAAGACAAGGCATCATGGGGTGTCCAGGGGAAAGAGGTTTAAAGGTTAAACAAAAATTTTGAAAATACGGTTTCGTTGTGATTTAGAAAAATCTTTCAATGTTTTTATTACATGTTTTTCTAACTTTTGCCATCTTTTTTCTTTTCAGGGGCTTCGAGGATTTGTTGGAAAACAGGTACAGTATGACTAGACCATCTGAGTTTGTGAATGCAATATTCTTCAGGGCTTTGTCCTGCAGAGATGTCAGTGAGTGTTACGTCAATGTTACATTTTTTTAGGCTGCTTTGCAGATGTCTGCTGCAGTGCCCAGTTTATAGTTGTGCCTAGGGAACATATGAGCATATGAGAAAATAATTCCTGTGTTTAGTTTTTCTTCTTTTTTTTTCTTTTTTTTCTTTTTTTCAGGGCAGGGATGGCGGGGGTTGTTGTTTGTTTGGTTGTTTTTTTATCTCGGTCTATGTTAACCTATTCTTGTTGTAGTTTGTAAATATGCATTACTTATTTACCTGAAAAATTCATTCACATTAGTATTATTTCAGGGTGACGATGGGGAAGATGGGCATGATGGAATTAGAGGAGAAATGGTACGTTTTTTTCTTTCTTTTGTCTTGACCTCAAAGTTACTGGGTGATAAAAAATGAATTAATATACCATATTTTGTCTTTAAGGGGCCTCCTGGGGTTCCTGGGAAGAAAGGAGAAAAGGGTGACATTGGATATCCGGTAACATTTTGTTATCTTTTAGTGGTCAGGGTTTGGATTTAAGAACAATAGTATTGCTATTTCATTAAACTGTTCCCTGTGAGAAATATCTTTAATAAAGTCTGAAGCACAGGGAGTAGACCTTGTACCACAAAGTTATATGCACATTTTTTGTTTGAATTCCTATCAGGAGAGCTACTATAGGACTTCCAGCACCTGAAGAACAACAAACTACTGATGAATAGCCAGTGGGTATTTTTGTAAATAGGGTATATACTCAGAAAATAGTTGCCTGTAGGATATTTCTATTTAAAAAAAGAATTTGAAGAATAATTAGATCTGTACTTTACAGTCTTCTAGGTGGGCATTTTCTCGTATTTATTGAGGGATCAAGTAATTTCTGCATATGACTAATTTTTATTTGGCTAAAGATAGATATGAAGCCTTCTACATCTGTAGTACCCTGGCAGGTTCAAATACGTAAGACAAGAGGTTTTTTTATTGTCTGTGTTTGCCAACGTCAGATCACTTGTTTTTCATAAAGCATGAAGAAGCCTTGTTGCCTTACAGTTAACCTTGCAGTCTGAAACAAGGTGTGACTTAGGACTCCAAATGGAGTTTTTGGGGAGTGGAATTGGGGAAGAAACTATGAGTGAGACGATTTATAAATAAAGGTTGAAAGGTTGGAACTTAGACCTATCTCTTGTCAATTCCTGTATGAAAGTAGTGTTTCAGGATCTTAGTGAGATATGTTCTGTTTTCAGGGAAGTCCAGGGCCAAGAGGACCCCCTGGTGATCATGGTCAGAAGGGCTTTCGAGGAGATCCTGTACGTTTTTTCAAGTGCATCATTGTTTTGTAGATGCAAACCATCATCTTGCATGTACTCAAGACTTTATACATACTCCTCTGTGCATCAGCACAAAACCAGGATGTTCTTCCACTGTGTTCATGTGCTATTGCAATGACTGTAGGATGTCTAATACATAGGCCTTTTATTAACCCTTCATATATGTAAATCTCTCTATTGTTTTTCTAAAGAAGAATGTTTTACAGTTTTTAAGTAGTTAGTACTACCAAATCCTTGATCTGTTCTCTCTAAATGGAACTCCTGATGTTGACAGCAATCATATGCATTGACTAAGAACTGACTTGTTAATTTAACATCTCAAATTTTGTAAGAATAAGCATTCTTACTGGGAGGTGTTTCTTTTTTTCAGGGTGACCCTGGACAAAACAGTGCAATAGCAGGAGCAAGAGGCTTCGCAGGAGAAAGGGGGGAAGAGGTAATTGTTTAGAAATATGTGGAATTTCTGTAAGATGTGTGCTTAGCAGTTGTACAGTTTCCTCCTCCTATCTGCACTATTTTAAATTTATCATTGCCAAGGATATGGGAAGTTATCACTTATCAAATAAGATGCTAACAAAGATCTGAAAGGTCTGAAAATGAATGAGCACCACTGTCAGCATCAAATCCACAAGGCAATGACAAACAGCTGATCTGATTCCAATGTGCGGATCTTTTAAATCTTCCAATTTTAAGAGAAGATGTTATGGTAGCCACTGATTCTCATGGGCTCTGGGACCTGGGAACTCCTCCTTCCTGATCAGTGAAGACACGTCTCTGTCCCAGTCCAACGGATGCTGCTGCTGCTGCTCCTGTTTGCAGTTTTGGCGAGTAGTGAGGTTCAGCCTGTGTTCCAGAGAGATCTATACACAGACAGGGGACACCAGTGCAGTCAGACATACAGACTAGCACAGACAGAGCACTGCCTTTAGCAGCATCCACAGATAACACTGCCAGAACTCATATGAAATGTATTCACAGATAGCAAAGTCCCGTCCCTCCTTTCTGCAGGAGGAACACATGTCCTAAATGCACAACTGTGTCGCAAGCCCAACCATATTCACAGATCCCTTGGATATCAGCATAACTTCTAAATCCATCTAAGATCCATTCCTGGACCACTGGCAAGGGAACTGAATATTCTCCTTTCCTTCTCTTGAAATCATTCGCGGGGGAAGCTCAGCTACCTCCAGGGAAAAGCAACAGCACCACTTGCACTTAGAGTGAACCGAAAACAGATTTTGTCATCTGGACGAGAGACCTGAGAAAATGGTCTCATGTAAATCCCTCGCTGCTTTCAGGGAGAGTTAAAGGACTGGGTGAGCCTTTTTCCCCAGGATACAACAGTACCAATGCTTGCCTTTTTTGCAATGCTTTCCAACAAGTGTATACCCTCAGATGCGGTCTGTGTCATTATCCTCACTGCAAGGAAGGAATTGAGGCACAGAACAAGGAAGTAACGTGCCCAATATCAAAGAGCAGGCTAGAAGCAGAGCCATGAACCTGCCAACTCTGTAACCCCCAGCCCTGTGCTCTTAACAAAGGCCTGCAGGAATCTTTCTAAGAGCTGTAATGGTATTTGGCAGTTCTTAGATAGTGCTATCAGCCAGGCCCTTTCAGAGATGTGTAACTGGTTGCTTTCAGCAGTCAATGCTATTTACTGAAAGGCTTTGACGGAGAATGTTGGTGTGGGGAAGTCCCACAAGACAGTTTTTGACAGTCTTAAAAATTCAGCATGCAAAAATGGACAAAAGAAAAAATGAGAAATTGCAGTAATGCTAAGGAAATAAAATTTTCTGTACACAGGGTGAGAGAGGACAAAAAGGCTCACATGGCTCATCAGGAGACATAGGCAACCCGGTAAGTTCCTTAAACAAAGGAAGCTTGTACATAGTGAAAATGAAAAGTAGTTCTGAACTTGCTTGGGCTTGATTTAGTTTTCTAGCCTCTGCCTTGCATGCACTTTTGATAACGATATTTAATTTGGTGAGTAGCAATACTCTGACTGTTAAATAGAAATACCATTTCCTAAGCAACACTCAGAATGGCACTGGAGGCCAAAACTGGACTACTGGTTTTGTAAGTATATATTTTTTTTGTAAAAACCCATAAATTTTGCATTTGTTTAACTGTCAGCTGAAAAGTTTTAATGAAGCGGTCACAACAAGCTATCCACTTTTATCAGCATTCAGATAATACTTAACTTGGCCTCACAGCCATTTTTTTTCACCTTGTCTTAGGGAATGTCAGGACGAAGGGGACAACGGGGACCAGATGTAAGAGCTATACTTTTCTTATTTCTGCCTTTTTCCACATAGGACCTTAATCAAGAATTTTGAAAAAGATAATTCAAAGTAGTGGCAATAGATATGTTGGAGAAATATTTTTTTAAATTGATCAGGAGCCTCGTCTGGACTTTTATGTATATGCTTCATCATATTACACTAGAACACCTACAAGAGTATGTTCCAAATATAGCACAGATAAAGCTGCAAATTTTAGGTATTTATAGTTTGCATGTGAGTATTGCTAGATACGTAAATCTTCTTTTCCCATTTGTTTGTATCAATTTTCAGCGTTAGGCCTTTGAAAGCAGAAGGTATTGCTTTTGTTGCTCAGCAAGTCTTTGTGACTACAGTATTAAATGATTTGTAGTGCCTCGCATATTGTCCACACACAAGATTTTATTTCAAGAACATTATCACTGTGCGGTTTCAGGAGTACTGTCTTTGGATTGTTTTTGCTGTGTTGGTTACTAATTCATTCTGGGTCTGCAGTGTTCAATGTGAAATCAGGCTGGTTAGATAGATCCTCTGGAATTTTTCTTGACATCTGTAAATGCAAGAAGGTATGCAGGAAGATGTAAAGAAAAACCCCAGACCTTTAAAATACAATAAATCCCAGCGTGTTACTGTCACATGAGAAAACCTTAACAAGACAAAGATTTGTTGTCATTTAAAAATAGGGCAATCGTGGAGAGCCTGGTCAGAATGGCTTGCCAGGAAAACAAGGATACAAAGGACCTCAGGTAAACATTATTGTTCTTCACAAAAGGAAAAAACCAAGAACACTAATGGTTTGTGTGTGTTAACTGAACTGGTTTGCACACTTTTTTTTTAGGGACAAAAAGGCAGCAGAGGTCGAAAAGGACAGAAAGGGAGTCCAGGACATAAGGGTCTTCCAGTAAGTAATATACTGAAACTATGCCGTGTTGTTTAATTGTAAGACACTGGATGTGTAATCAAATGAGGATTGCAGTCTGAATATTTTTCATTACATTGATTTTTGAAGTTTCTTTTCAGTACATGGTATTGACCAGAAAGGGAGATACATATTGCTAAAATACAACAGCAATTACATTCTCCATAAAACTTAATTGTTACTGTTAAAATATTAGCTTTAGAATAATGCCACCTTCCTAGCTATAGTGAAGAAAAAGGTGATAGCGTAAGGTACTTCTTCTCCGTCAGTATTTTTTCCAAGCAGTGATAAATTCTGCAATTATACCTAGTGCATTATTGTAGTTACCTGTAACAAGCTATGAACAAAGGACTTGACAGTTTTATTACAGTAAGCTAAGACAGAAAAAGAGAAGAAATGTCACAGATTTGGTCATGTGGAAACTATCAAGTATGAATTATTGTTATTAATCTAACAATTATCATAATTTAATTCATAGGAATTCTAGTTCTTTCATTAGCAAAAACCTGGCTTACAGAGGTTTTCTGCCTTTGCTCCTTAGTCTGCTTTCTGGGCATAAATCGTGTTCCAAGTGCTGTAGCACAGGGGTTTTTTTGGTAAGGCTGGCTTTCAAGAGCAGTGGTGGTATGGATGTTTTGATATGTGTTTATTAACCTTTTTATGGTTCATGCTCTGACTTCCTCCAGCCTCCTGTACATTGTCAACCGATCTGTGTTTAACTGTAGTTGAATACTTTAATTTAAAAGCAAAGTAAACAGACTGATTTTCACAATCCAGTGGAATAATTCAGCCAGACAGGCTAAAAGTTGGTGGTTAAACACGTTAAGTAACATATATGAACTAATACCTCTCAAGTGTGTGTTCCTGTGAGCTCTTTTATTGGCTTCCTGGTGACAGGCTTCCCAGTAGAACTCAAATCCTGGGAGAGTCCCTTGCTCACACACTTCTGTCTCTGAAACTATCATTCTCTCCCCTGTCAACTGCCAAACATTTCCCATCTCCCACACAGCCACGTGTTTTCATGAGTTCCCTTCCCTTGTACTTCAGACATTTTTAGGGGGATGTGGAAAAAGGGAAGTATAACTGCTGCCTTTTGTACTGAGCAGGTCAATGGTCATGAAACCATCTCAAAGGCCTGCTTTCTGGACTGATTGCCCTTGCTCTGAACTCACCAGCAGTACTACTGAGTGGAAAGCAGGAGAGGGATGAAGGATGTTACTCTTTGTAGGCATTTTTTCACCCAGCTCATTTGTACAGTGTAGCCCCTGCCCACAGAAAATTTCCACTTTCCTGTAGTGTAGCTGTCTGATACACTAAGGAGATGATGCTAAGTTCCTACTCATGGCTGCCTTCTCAGATCTCCCTCTGTCCCTCACTTTGCTATTTTCTGTTGTCCTTTCGAAAATGAATACTGGAAGAATTCAAACAGCTTGTTACTTGGCAGTAAAAAAGAATGAAAATACCAGTTGCTGTACCAGGCAGTACAAGCTAAATTGCTTATGTGGCTCCAGTTGTTGGAATGCTAGTCGATTAGTGGATTGTAGGAGATAAGTCTTGTTTCCGTTGTAATGTTGTTCCCTGAGACTTTGGTGTTGAACACATATTACGTATATGAAAGGAAGTGGCCACACTGATGAGAGCAGAAGGCTATCTATCTATCTATCTAATATCTCTTGAGTTTTCTATAAAATTAACGCCTGATTTTTTTAGAACCTCGTCCTGTAGAATTTGAAGCTACATTTTAGTTGGGGACAATCTTGGCAAAGTCATTGTCTCCATAAATCAGATATAATACACTGGTACTGTCGTGCCCTGCCCCGCTTATGTGAGCATCAGCTTTGCAACAGACTATTTTTGAACTGTAAATGTCCTGTTGATCACTCACATATGTCCCCTTTGCTATTCTGGTGCCAAATTCCAAGATTGTCATAGAAAAGAAAAACTGTTTTCACTTGTTTTTTCTGAGAGGTCACTCAACATTCAAGTCTAGATAATATTTTTGTGTGTGTGTGCTTATCTATAAGATGCTGTCTTTTTGGCTTGAGAACAAGACTCTTGAAGCAGTATTTTCTGCAGGCATGGAACGCTTGCTGTTATTTTGGAAAAACATCTTGAATGCTTCATTGATGTGACAGTTAATTTTTTTTTTTTATATGCAGTCTTATTTAAAGATATGTTTCCTAGCAAACAATTTGCTATGGGAACCAACTGCTTGTCTTTATCTTCCTCTGCCAATAGTGAGCTCAGGGGGCTTCAGGACTAATGAAGCACATCTCTGGATTGAATTTCACTTACTTTTGTCGGTTCTGTTCAAAAGGTGTCCAGTTTTCTCAGTGTCTTCAGTGTTTTGTGACCAGTCCTAGGCATTTTGATTGAACATGTTGTGTTTATAAATGTGGTGTTCGGTAACCAAAAAGGGAATTGATTTCCTGTCTTACAATTAGCCCTCAAATTGTCATGCTGTGTGAGTTGAGTCACAACCACCAACTAGCGACTGGGAATGATGTCTGACCAATTTTTTTTTTTCCTTGCCCAGTATTTGCAAACCTCTTCTTAAAGAAACCTCATATCAGAATATCTTTATACGACACATTGTGTGTTGACGTATGACATCCAGGACTGCTATTGTGTTCTTAATGGCATCCCTAGGGACTCCTCTCCTCCCCCTAGCAGAACTGCCATTATTCTAGGAAGTGGAGTCACACCCTGTTAGAAAAAGCGTCTGAGATCCAAATAGTTAGTCCTGGGCTGATCAGCAGCAGAGGAAGGACAGGCAGAAGCAGAAAGCCAGGGATAGACTTTCTCAGGAACACAGAGCAGGTCATGGAACCACACTAATAGCAAAAACATAGTCAAATTGCTTAATCCATTAGACTTCGTTTTGTCCCACTTTCTTTCCTGCTGTAATACACCACAAGAAAACTGCCTGTTGTTCTGGCAATATCATTTTTCCCCTGGAATGAATGCCATGTGGTTACGCAGTTCCTTATAGCTACAAAGTTGTTTGTTGTCAATAATACTTCTATTATCTGACCATATCAATTTACTTCTGTTTGGAAAGAAACTATTCAATTTCCTTATACTCTAAAATAGTCTGTGCTAAATACACTGTCATTTGAAACATTTCAGTTGAAAAGACAATCCTGTATTACAGAAAGACTTTTTTTTTTTCTATTTTCATGGCATTATTATCTGGAATGATTCTAGTCTGTGGTCATTTAATCTTTTCACTCAAGTTAAGTGTTCCTGTTTTCATTTCTGTATCACATACTATGTGATATGCTGGTCTGGGCACTGGAGAAAGCGTTGCCCTTTCTGATGTCCCTTCCCCTAACAACCTGGTGATCTGCAAGATACAGAGAATTATTAATATTTCTACTCTGTGTTTTAGAATACAAATATTTAAATTATACCATTCCAGTCCACTGTATTGCTGGGTTTTTGTTGTTGTTGTTGTAAAAGAAATAAAGTTACTGCAGTTCTTTGACAGCTTTATGGATAGTATCCCTAGCTACAGTACTCTCACTGGTGTAAGCCTTACTTAGCACTTTGACAGTCAAATCAATTTCCAGCCCCACTCCACGCATCTGTAAATACTCTGAGAGGTGACAGAGATAGAAATCTCCGTGTATCTGCCCCGTATGGAGAAAGATGTGCTTGTCACTGCATCCACTGTAAAGAGAACAGAGAAGAGTACTTTTCCTCTTCATTACCCTATAATGAGACAGGTTAATTTTAAAAGATGCTTAAGAAATGGAGAGGGCTCTGTCCTCCTGTCTGTGCATTTTCTACATCTGTTAAAAAAAAAAAAAAAGAAAAAAATGCAAGCGCTTCTTTGGAAATACATTAGCTTTGGTCTTTGAGATCTGTTACATACAAAGGTCCGTGGTCACATTCAGTAACAGAAAGTGTCAGTCACTTCTGGAAGCCGGCTGTGAAGGGCTGTGAGAGTAGATCTGCCTTTGCTCTGATGTATCATCCAAGCTCCATACCTGTTGATTTTCTTCAGAAAATCTTTAGAATAGTGTGTCCATTGCTCTTCGGCTACAAATATGAGGTCATGATGCTAACCTGGCTTGCTCAAGCATAGTTCCCATTGCTACTGATGCAGTACAGGCTCTCCTGTAGTAGTGGTCAGTATTTTGCCCTGCAAGTTTTTAGATGGCCATGTTGATGGACAGCTGCTGGCAATTTTGTTAAGATACTTTTGCTAAATATAGAGTATAAGGACAAATACTAGTAATTGTTTGGAACTGACAGAAGAAAAGATTGGCATGATGAAGACTAGAAAAATGTGCTATTCCCAATAAAAGTAATAATGGCCTCTAATTTTTTAAAGCTTCTGCTATTTAAGGGAAGGGAAAGGAAGAAGCAGTGTGCTATTTTACAACTAGGAACCTAAATTTTATTTACTTTGGCTGACTAATCCCTGCCAAATGCTTGGAGGAAAGCATTTATTTGGTGCTATATTGAGTTGGTTATTGTCATTCTGCAGCCAGATATTTCAGAGAGAGGATACTAAAGGATGTGGCAAAGTGTGGTTAAGCGAAACTCTTGTTATATCAAAAATACCTACATTGGATTACAGTCCTGGGGAAAACAAGATCACGTTCTCTGACCCACTTTCAAGACAAATTCTGTCAATATCGTTAATTTTAACTTAGAAGTAGTAGAATAACACATACAGTGTTCTTCTGTTTAGTTTCCTCCTTCTTGGTCATTGTCAACCATGGATTGCAGATGAATCTCGGAATCAAACAGGAAGATTGAAGTGGAGTTAGAAGCTGGTCTTACTGATACATCATTTGGTGTGTTATCTGGAAGATCAACCTTTTTTCTAGAACCTTGAGGGCTCCTTTCTAGGGGCGGGCTGTAAGGAGGCATAGGTAGTGGTTATATAGCCTTTAAATTTTATGGCATTAGTCAATTTTTATGAAATGTATGTTCAACCTGAGAAAGGATCTGTGTTTTCTCTGTTTTCTTATTTCACATCACAGTATTTGTCTCCTTTTGTTTATTCCAGAACAAGCCAGGAGCTGTGGGTCCAGCAGGGAATCTTGGAGCTCCTGGGAAAACAGGATTTAAAGTAAGGTTCCCTTAGTTAAATTACTGCATTAATTTTGTTTGTTTAATTCCCTTTCTTCATTTTGTTGATTTAAAAATGACTTGCTTATTCTGTTCTTGGAATCCACATGTGGAACTATGTCCCAGGCAAAGGTCCAGGGGATGTCTGCACGATCAGTCTTTTGATCCGAGTAGTAATTATGTGTGGAAGTTTAAATAGGCTTTATGATGTTTCTTTTTGGATTGCAATTTGTATGGTACTTAAATTCCTTTGGAAAAAAAAAACAAGCAAGCACAGCCATCACAATATGCATGTTAGTAATGGCTCTGGCCACAGATGCAAGGAGCTGGACTTTCTTTTATTTGAAAAACCTCTTTCTGCCAAAGCGTGTACTAGAAGGTCCAGGGAAGCAGAGTTTTATATGAATTTTAATTAATCTGTTGGACCTTTAGATGTAACTTTTACCCTCTGGATAGTTTGTTAATTCTGTAAATTGATAAGCAATTAGTAAGCACTTTGTAACATTGGTATTATTTGCATAGTAAACTATGTTGCATTGTGTAGTTCTTCCACTAGGACCTAACATTTCATGTTTATTTGAATTGGTCTTCCCCAAAGAAATTGTAAGCTCTGTGCCAGGTTAAACTAGCAATTAGTGTGGGGGAAATCTTCACGTAACCAGAGACTGGAAGAAGGGATTCCAGTAAAAGTATTATAATAGAGTTTCAGTGTTGCCTTTTAAGTCAAACTTTCAGAATCATAATAAATCAACAATCCAGAAGACAAATGCCTGACAAAATTGAGAGTAAAAATCTTTATGATGAAAGTGTAAGAGATTTGAAATGCTTTATTTATGCATTTTAGGATGTGTAGGATATCTCAAAAGTAAACAATCATATTTTCATCGGCACAAATTTAGGTGTCTCAGGATATACACAAAACTTCTTTTGGGTCAGATCACTCAGTCTAGCATTTGCACATCTAAATAAAGGATAAATGCAAAGCAGCTTTTAACATAAAAGTTGGGTTTGAGGTACTTCTTTGCCTGCAATCCTGAGGCTGCTAATCTGATTTTATAAATCATAAGAAAGTCGCTTGAAGGTAATATGTTGTTATGCCTTCTTTCAGATTAGTCAAATTCCTTCATATTTGTGCATGAGTGTATGGGGTTTGTCAACTGGTATAGTCAGGTAGTTATTCCACAGAATGAAGGAAATTCTTCCATGCCTTTTGAAATTGGATTGTGAGACTGTAAGCTGACTTTTTGGAGCCAGTGATTCTACACCTTCAGTAATATCTCATCCTTTAATAGAGGCTGTTTGACCTGACACTAGAAATGTTTTATTCTTTGGTTCGGAAATAATATATTCTTTGAAAAATCTAGTTGTTTGCTTTTTGTGATTTAACCCCAGCCAGCAACTGAGCAACACACAGCCTCTTGCTTCTTCCTCCCCCCTCCCAGTGGGATGGGGATGAGAATTGGAAGAAAAAAAAAAAGTAAAACATGTGGGTTGAGATAAGGGCACTTTAATAACTAAACTAAACTAAAATATAATAATAATAATTGTAATGAAAAATAATAGAACAAAAAGAAAGGGAAATAAAACCCAGGAAAAGACAAGAGATTCACAATGCAATTGCTCAGCACCCACTTGACCCATGCCTGAGCAGTGATTGGCCCCTCCTGGCCAACTCCCCCCAGTTTATACACTGGGCATGGTGTCCTATGGTACAGAATATCCCTTCGGCTAGTTTGAGCCAGCTCTTCTGGCCATGCTTCCTCCCAGCTTCTTGTGTGTCTGCTTGCTGACAGAGCACGGGAAACTGAAGAATCCTGAACTTGGGATAAGCACTACTTAGCAACAACTAAAACGTCAGTGTGTTGTCAACATTATTCTCACACTAAATCCAAAACACAGCACTGTACCAGCTACTAGGAAGAAAATTAACTCTATCCCAGCTGAAACCAGGACAATGCCCGTATTACGAAAATCTTTGTTTCAGTCTGTATTTAGGGAGTTGAAGAAGGACCTTCAATACAATATTTCAGATTTCCTTTGCAAAATCTTATTTTGAAATTCACGGTATCCCTTTAACCAAGCATGACTCAAATGAGGATGGGAATGGTTTACTTAATTGTTTTTTTAATAGGGAAATGCTGGTGATCAAGGACCAAAAGGAGAAAGAGGTCCGTATGGTTCACGTGGAAGGCAGGTTTGTACTTTTATTTACATCCTTATGCTGCTTATTTTGGCTACACCAGACCTAAAGCAGGAGACCTGTACTCTCATAAAAGACATGTAACTCAAGAATTCTAGTTTGGTCAATTAAGACATGATAGTAATTGTAATAACAGAGAGAATATAGATTTTTTTTCTTTCAGAATAACTGAGGGAATATAAATATTGAACTAATTTTTGCTGTGAGTCTCCTAACAGTTATATTACAATTATTCTGAATGAATACAGGTGTGAATTACAAGTGCAGATATGACCCCAAACCTTTGGTACATTCTACTGTAATATTGCAGTATTTCTATTAATAGTGTTGGGAAGAAATATCATTTGCATTAGTAAATAGAGAATGATCAGGTGCTTCAGGTTTTGAGTTTGAAAATTTCTGTCTCTGATATTATGGAATATTGTTCTGATTGTGAAGAGAGCATAAACAAGAGTTTGATCAGTTTCTAGTAGTAGTATAAAAATGCAGTTTCCGTTGAGGCTAGGTTTTCTAAAGATTTGCTTTGAGGTGTGGTTAGAGACAGAGCAGTAGTATTTTCAGAGTAATCAATGATTGCAGGAGGATTTCTTCGTGTGGACTTGCCTTTCTCCTCTGTGTATAATACCTTCCCTTCTGTTAGACTGGGTTAGCTTTGGAGACAATGTTGTACGTATACCATGCCTCCTGTCTTTGCGGTCAAGCCAGGACCAACTTCTACCTTTGTGTTCACTTTTAAGATTTACTTCCCATGGACTGCAGAGATTTTCCTTCTCTTTGGACGGTTCAGGGGCACAGTGTGCATATGTATGATGTGAAATGGAGTAGAAGTCATCTTGCTGCTCCTCAAAGTGTTGCAGTTCCTTACATCAGACTTCCTAAGATTCTATACTCCAAGGCATTTGAATTGACACCTGGTCAGTAAAATAAGGTGCAGATAGACGCAAGAGTACAAATGCAAATACTTACATGAAAATGGTCTGTTTACAGGGAGAAGATGGTGCATTGGTATATGGCCTACCTGGAGAAAAAGGAGTAAAGGTAAAACTGAAAGAGGAATCGTAAGGAAATTGTTATTTTCTCCATTATTTTAGAAGTATTTAGAACAAGAGGCTAAGCAGGGGAAAATGCAACCAACAGGCACCACTTATAGCTACTTGAACTTCATCCCAAGGCATATGGAATAGAACTCTAACCTATACAATACTGCTTTTATTTCTAATTATCACTCTTTCTGACTAATTCACTAGCTGTGCTGTGTGAGCCCATACCTGAGACCAGATAATGAATTGCTAAAATCAGTGTGGTTCACACTGGGTTTTGCAACCTTAACCTTAGACTGTAAGGTCCCTGTGACCAAGACCCATCATTTGTCAATTAAGTTAGTTCATATTGTGACCCTGGAATATATTTCTGGTAGTGGCTGTAGGATGCAGGAGTCTTCTGTAAATTTTTAGATAAATCTTGACACTTTCAAGAGCAGGATTACATAACAAACCACATAGCAAGTGCCCTTCTAGTTTTACGTTCCCACAATTTATAAGAGCTGGTGGCTGCAAAAATGTCTTTTATCCAGAATATGTTGAAAGGAGCCATTAAGCTCCTTCGTGCAAACAACTGAAACGCAAGTAATGCTATTCAAAAAAGTCATTAGCAAGGTCCTGGTGAGAAGTGAGCAGTGTGGTCTTGGTGGTTTCCTTGGGAAGAGCCAGAGACTGTTGGCAATTGTTGGTGAAATTGTGAGCAAGGAATGTGCAGGAAGGAGAAGATGAACTGGAGATGCTCATCCCACACGCTGACAGAAGCATTATTGGCTTGGTCCTGAGAAATACTGGAGAGAGATTTTGGATCTCGAAATGAGCTAAATGACCCATGAGCCTGTCCCTTGAATTCAAAAAAGTAAGGGTTGTTATCATCTTATTTAAATATTGCTTGTATGGCACATTGTGTCTCTACAAGACAATGTCTCCTGGCCAACACCAAGCTCTTGCTAGTATGCTTTTTGGAAATGAAAATACAGCTTGGTATATCATCACCTACAAATACCAGCTTCTGCCCTGCATTTGATTTACTAGAAATATACCTTGATAATTTGCATGTGCTAAGATTGGTCCCCTCAACTGTCAGTGTAATGGTAATTTCACTCTTTGTTCATGACTGGGACAAGCTAAAGCTATAAGTAGATCCTCATTGGCAGTATTTTTAATATATATGTGTGTCTGTCTCTCCATATATTTACATATGCAGCATATATATTATACATATAATGTAAGTATTCATACATATACATACAAAATAGCAGATTACTTTCAAATGCCAGTTAAAAAACAATACTGGGATAACACTGTGAATTTAATTATCTCTACTTTCTATGTTATAGGGAAATAAAGGATTTCCTGGAGATTTTGGACAAAAGGTATGTGTTGGGTTTTTACCTCAACAATTCTCTGGCTTTCATATATGTTAGTTTAAATAATCTGTTCTTTACTGCATTGTGGTTATACAGGTGTAACACATCTGTAGCTGATAGAATTATGCCATTCCAAAAAACGGCAGATACTATTGCCAATTTTTCTTTTTAAAAATAAGAATGTTTTTTGTAGATAACTTTCAATACAGTCAGTGAATTTTCCTGGCATTTTGCAAAAAGAAGTAGGAATCAGTTTTGTTAAAGGAGGAGGAGGGGTAACTTGTACGAGTGGTAAACGACTGAAAGCTTTTATCTGCCATTCTCCTCTCTCCAGCCAATGAGCACTAAATAAAAACGGAGCAGGTGTTTTGCTGGGAAGAACAATCTGATACTGGCTGCTATAAAATGAAACAACTTTCACAAAGACATGGAAGGGGAAGGCCCAAGTGTCCCAAATGAGCCCTAACTTTGAGGGAAACAGCCTATAGTGAAATGGGTTTTGGAAAGCCCATCTATTTTTTGCCTTTGTCCCTCTTATATTTTACTCAGTAAAGTCGCTTCGTGTGCAGTCTTTTCAGCAAGGTTTGAATTTAGTGCCTCACTTTAATTGTTTAAACAAAGACAGTGTTTGTAGGCAGAAGCTTCTTCTGACCTCCAAGGATGCAGCGGCTGGCACACGAG